GAAAACACTGGATCTGCAATAATTAAATTTTCTGTATTTTGAGTATTATAACAGATAATGAAACAATGCAAACATTTGAAAATGCTGGAATGGGGTAAAATTACTTCTGTGATAATATAAAGCAAATGTTGGCAACCAGCAACATTTTAAAAGCAACAATAAGAAACATCAGGTAAAGCATTAATTTATACAGCATGGTAGAAATGCAACTGCTGTACAGGCTTTACCATGTTGTAGGACAAGTGAAGGATCAATTACATGAATTGATGTAATTACATCAATTACATCAATTACATAAACTAATCCAGTGAATTTGAAAATTAGCCTTATATACCAATTTCCGGGCAGAACGTAAATATAATTTGATTTCTTGCATCTTGCTCAAAGTTTTGTGATCTTTGTCTTGGCTTATATGTTCTTGTATTATGTATGAGCAAATGACATGTTGAAGCTCCCACTTCCTTTTAAACACTTGCACCATGAAATTTAAGCTATGTTAGCAGTCACCATTCAAAAAAACCCTGTAACAAAACAAAACAAAACAAAACAAAACAAAACAAAAGTTGTCATAGTAGTAGGGCAAAATCCTGCTTTGAAAAAGGAGGCAAACAAAAATACAGATATGGCAATATAAACATTAAAAATTTGCAAAAAGCACATAAAGTTCTATAGTATCAATTCCTTTAGGAAAAACAGATTTGCAAATTTATATCCAAAACAAGTGTTAAACTCAAGGTAACATCATAATGTTCACTTTAAAACAGTGATAGTGGGGCAGCTACCAAATATATGTGTTTATATTTGTAAGTGCACCTTAGAGTAAGTCATTGAAGATGCAGTCATGGTGATAAAATTAATCAAAGGGCAACTACATATTCTGCATGGACTCGTGAAGAATGGCTTGTCAATTAAACTTAAAACAATTCTTTTACAGAGCAGTTTCATTTCTGAAAATTCATCAAAAATTACAAAAAATTAATGAAGCTTTAATCAAACATGGCCTTCAGATTATTCCCCTAAGAATGAAATTATTTTTTATTTTCTAAGCATTTGACTTGACAAGGAAAACTTACTTAGGAATGTTTTACTGATGAAACAAAGTTGCCCAGACATTATAGCAAAGAATTAGATATTATATCTTTACAAACCAGACTTGAAACACCAATATAACTTGGAAGAATGATTAACTGTGTAGGTAGGTACTAGGACAGATGTAATGTGATTCAAAACTACTCAGTTTTTCATGAAGAAATGGGTGCCAATGACAAACAGAGCTAAATACACAAAGCTTGGAGATCCTCAAGTATGTTACTGCTGTCTTGGGAACCTGAATGAAGAAAAACATTAAGTTTAAATCATAGAGGAAACCAAAAGACAACTCAGAACTGTATGTTTAATATGCAGGGAATAAAAAGTTCCTGTAGTTCCACATCTGTATTTGCATTCTGCTTACAAAGTCTGGATTTAGGGCACCCAAATTAAATGTATGCATTTTTAATACAGAACAAAAGAGAATTCTCCCTTTGATAAATCTATGGTACCACAGCTTTATCCTTCCTCTTAGGTCTGGGTTTTTAAATTTAAATCCCTCAAAATATTGCAGTCATTTGTGGTGCTGGAAGAAGGAACTTAAATGGCAGAAGTCTATTCACGCCTTCTTAACCAGCTGAGGTCAGGTAGCAAAACCACATTCTTAACTCTCTTAGAAAGGAAGAGACAGAATCTTAAGAAACTATTATTTAGCATTTATAAATGGTTAGCCAAGCAGTAAATTAGATTACCCCTAACCAGGTAAAGTCCTGCAGCAATCAAAAATGGATAGGATAACAGAAATAATGTTATGATAGCACCTATTTTTTTGGAGTATGTGTCGAGTACTTAGGTACCAACAAACTATTAATGAAAACAGTCCAATGGTTATTTCTGCTACTAGATTTGATTAGAAAATTTTCCCCCATCATAAAAGAAATTGCTTTTTCATTGAAAGACTGAGCATTTTCAGAATCTTTTTTCAACGAAGCCCCAAGTATTTTCACTATGTACAAAAGATATTTTTAGCCTACTCTTTCACATCAAGAATGCATTTGAAAGATGGCTTTGTTGAAATGTCTGTATAGTGCCCTTCAAATTATAAGATAAATTACTAAATGTTGGCTTGGAGAATACACCCTGTAGAAGAAACAGTCCAATAGATCTCAGGCCAAAACTGCTGAGAATTTTTCTATAATTACAGTTGTGTGGATCTCCTGCCTTCATCTTGTGTTCATACAATATTCTTACAGTAATGGTAGCAAATATTTTCAGGTGAAATACTACTATTACTACCATATGTGATGAATTTGCATCTTCTCATTTGCCAAATGAAATTTGGAAACGAAAACCAAAGGTCAGTATCTCACTACAATAAAGGAGCAGAACAACAGGAAGAGTTTTGCAGATCGGTGGAAAAGGCCTGGGACCTTCAGTGCTACTATTTTTAATGTGTCTCTTCTCGCACCAATATCTGTGGTGATGCAAACCCTTCTTCTAAAAAATTTTTCTGTACTCATATACATTGTCCTTTGGAAGCTCTGCTCTTGTGATTGGTCTTGGAAACCAAACTTCCCTTTCACAGTAGTTTTTGACCTTGAAGATGATAGGACAACTTTCATGAATAAAGGAGTAAGCATGGAGACTTTTTAAAAAATCTGACTGCAGCTAGAAAACAACTTAAAAAGAATCTATAAGCTTTTCTGCAAGCTCTGTTATCATGCAGGTCTTTATTTACACTGCATAGTCTTTCTTACTCCTGTGGCTCATTTGAGCTTCAGATTTAGACCACTTACCTGTACCAGTCTACATATGTGTTAAATGTCAAAACTCCTGTTAAATTCAATGGAAATCCAGACAACTTACCCAACAGACTCTACAGAACTCACTCAGTAGCAGATACCCTGCCCCCACTCCACAGTCTGGACACTTCAACAGCCTTAGAAGTTCCAATGGCCCAACCTGGATGGCCTTGAAAAAAAACAGTGTACCCAGCATAGTCCAGGCCCGTAAATATACTTTATATCTGATTACTCCTTTTATGCCAAAGAAAAACCTGAGTCAGTCCCCAGAGAGTGGGGGATTGTCTATATGTGGGTAAAAACGGAATGAATGAGAATGATTTAGTATTAGAATTAAATGTTCAGCTTCTTAAAATGTTAAATGCTTCTTTCACGTTGCTTTATTAGCACACTCCAGGGAAAAAAAAAAAAAAAAAAAAAAAAAAAAAAGAAGAAAATTGGGATTATGCTGTGATTTCCTGGGTAAGTCATGAGGCTGTGCAACCTGGCACATTATCATAAAAACTGACCCTTGCTGCAAGATAATAGTAAAAATGATTTTGTTGTCATGAATTATAGAACCAAGTCCTTTCTGCTGACTACATCATGGAATTCCATTGTAAGGCCTTCTCACCCATAAATCTTACTACACAGTAAATTTGAAATCTTACAAATAATTCTCAAGCGTTCAAATGAAAACATGCACTCTGAAAACATGTGCAGTAATACAAAGTAGAGGAATTCAGAGCAAAGCTTTTCAGAATCAAATATACAGGCACCCGTCCAACAGCAGAAGTTATTTTAGCTCTAGTTTTCTTTTTAAATCAACACCAGTGAAGAACTCCTATCAGATGGATTTTTAGAAATCATATTTTAAACCCTTTACAAAAGACACTGTTTCCTCTTGAGGGTTTAAGCATCACCTACCATGATCAACTTGACCCTGCAGCATTTAACTCATAAATAAAAAAACACCACCACCACCACCAAAAAAAGTCAGAGTAAAAAAAAAAAGTAAAGATCAGACTATTTGCAGAGACACCATTTCTGTTCATCAGTCCTCAGTGAAAGTCACAGACTTTGGACCTACAGATATCTATGCTGATCACTAAAACAGATCACCTCTGAAGAAGGACCATGTCTGAACTGCCTGGTTTGAAGCAGGAGAGGTGAAATGCAAGACCCAGGAGTAGAATATGCTGAATACTGAAGTATGACAGCCATAGATGGAAAGCTTCCGTCCATACAATGGACTTTCTTTAGGAAAAGCAGACAACTGATGTATATGCTCACTGGAGGAAATATATCCATGTAAAGAAAGGAAGGACATATGTTGAAGCCAAAAGTCAAATTAAAAGATGCACAGGTTATATTTTGGGTGTTTATTGTTCTGTTTTTCTATTTGCTTTGTATAATGTACATTTTTGTGCTACTGTGTCTGTGTGACCATCTTGCTTACATTAATATTTTCTTCTGAAAATTCTTCTATTTATTTCTGAAAGAGTTAACTGTATAGGCTACTCCTTCCTGCATGTTTTACTATTGATAACTTGTGATAGGCATTTGAGCATTAAAACTGGTGTGATTCTTATGCTACATATGTCCTTAATATTTAAAGGAACATTCAAAAGTCAAGCTTGTTCTATCTATCAACACTATTGTCAACAGCCACTCATGATGAAGGCTGAAATATCTCATCACAAAACTAAACTTATTCAGTCTGTATGACAGACAGTTTAGTCCTTTGATTAGATCTCAGCACCATAAAAGCATTTAGCCACACCATTTCATGTAACGATATCAAATAATAGACACAGCTTCACTTGCATGGTTTATGGTTTCAACTGCAGCTCAGATTCAAATTAAAGTCTGAAGTAAAAAAACAGGTTTATTTCAGACTGAGAGAAAATAAGCCAATCAAAATACAAATTTAATCCATAAGCTAAGTACTAGTACTTTTTTTAACATTGCTTGTTTCACAAAAAAAAGGCAAAGCTTTATTTGTTAGCGTCCAATGAAACCCAGCTTCTGTTACCCCGTTATTTTGCTCTAGAAGCCACTTCTTTATTAAAGTAACTCCTTTGTAGGTAGCTGATATCATCATCATGATCCAAAAGAGTAGGAACTATTACTGACATGTGATACTATTTTAATAACAGAAAAATATTTAAAATTTGTAGTAAGCATACCCAGAGTTTTCTCTCAGTACTCCAGAACATCCTAAGTAGAAGGTTTACTTCTTTTGACTTTCCTTAGTTTCGAATAACCTTCTTCTTTCTGCTCACAACCAAATAAAAAAAAAGAGGCGAAAATCAGTAAAGCAAACAAAGCAGTAATACTAAGCTAACAGTTCAACTAAAAAAGCTGTTCCTGAGTGAAATGCTTAGTTGAATGCAAAGTAATTAATAAAAGTTTCTATTCCCCAATATAAATATAATTTAAAGTATGTTTATATGTACAGTGATTAAATAATTAAGACCAGAGCTACTTGGAAAATGCCCTTTTACATGATGGCAACCACGACTTTCAAAACCAACTTGTTGTTGTCCAAACTTGAGATAATGACTAAGGCTCACTCTTCAGAGAAGCGTTTAGAAGTGTCCCCAGTTAGTGCCATTGTAGTTTAATCTGGAGAGAGGAGGAATCAGACTGACGAGCACCAGAGTCCATCCCTACCCCAGTGAACAGATGAGTTCCTCTCCTATTCCTGAGATTCCAGCTGAAATTTCCCTAAAGCTGTGCCTCCACCTCACTTGAGTCCAGCAGTGGCAGTGCTGCACTGACAGTATGGCAGAGAGGCAGTGAGAACTTGCTGTGTCCTGACACTTTCCAAAATTAGCTTGCAGGGCTAATGCAGGTACCCGTGTTACTCACAGCCTGCCTGGAGAGTGAGGAATGCATGGGGCACTTGTGACTCCTGGCTAGGACAGGACAGTGCTGAAATCCTTTGCCTGCCACTGGGGATGACCGAGACACAGTAGGGCTTGTGAGCATGGAACTACTTCTGCAACTTGGGCAGACCAGACAAAGCAGAGAACCTGTAGCTGGTCTGGCAGCACTGCTGGAATGGGGAAGGAGCACTGTCCTTTGTATTGTGGTGGAAGTTTCCCTTCAGTACTCAGACCCCTGGGGTTGTTATTCTTATGACCACAGTTATTTTTAGTTGCTGCTTTTCTTCTCTTTGTGAGACCGACTTTACTGCTGTAGCACTGTAGTGCTGGGCTGTAACCAGTGACTCAGTTGTGGCCCTGTGGAAGGGCCTTTCCCAGCTGCAGCTGGATGGGGCCAGCTCAGAGCAGCTGGGCTGGCGCTTCCCACATCAACTCCTCTCTTCCCTGCTGTAGCTTGAGCTCCAGGGTATGACTGTGTTCCTGCAGCAGGCCCCTGGGGTTGCTGTACCGCCCTTTTATGAACTGCACTGAAAGCACAGAGTGTGTTCTTTTAACTACAGCTAAACCTTCCAGGATTGTCTTGTATTTGGCTTTAAAAGCTGAACAGAACAAAAAGTAGTTTCTACAGAATGTTGCTGAATTCAAGCCCTTCAGATGAGACACTTACAGAGCCACTGACAACGCCCACAGTTATACTGGCATTATATAGCATCATGCTTTCTGTAGAATCAGAAAATCTGCTTCAGAAACAGTAACACTATTAAATATTTTAGTAGTATCTTTTTCTGGAGACAAACATTTTAAATGAAGGCCTGAAGTAACAGTGTCAAAACCAATGGTTAATGTTAGTTTTATCCTGGTTATGGTTAGCTTTATTCAGAGCCGGCTCAAAAAGATTTTTTAGTTTGCCTGTTTTACCTGGAACATGCTAAGATGAAAAAAAATTAGATTTCCTTTTTATCTCTTAATTTAGGTCCTTCTGGACTGGATCAATGGGTGTTTGTGTGTGGAGTTTTTACCTGTCTTCTTCTGGCACAACCTTTCTTTACAGATGCTTCCATATTGCTGTCCTTGACTGACCAAGTCAGTTCTGAGGTCAGTGTTTCGCATGTCAGATGCTTGTTCCCCGTAATCATCTGAAAGTATACAAGTTTATACCTTCATTAGCAAAAAAACCCCAAAATTGAGTTTTCTAATTGTTAAAAATACCTACCTTTTCAAAAGGTGCCCTCATAACACGAAGTGGAGTTAACCTACCAAATTACATGTTATGGATGAAAAAAGAGATAAGCACAGGATATTTCATCCATGTGCCCAATACATGGGATATCATCCTCATAAAAACTGTACTGCAATTCAGCTCAGCTATTTATTTCATTGAAATGCAGAGAGAATCATAGAAAAGTTAGGTTGTAAAGTACCTCTAGCTGTCATGTAATCATAACTTTTACTCAAAACAGAGATAACTTCAAAAATAGATCCCCTTGCTTTGGACCTATTCAATAACATTTTGAGAATCTGAAAGGCTAACAACTCCAAAAACCCCTCTGTGCAACTTGTTCTAGTACTTGACCATTCTCACTCTGAAAATATTTCTCTAATGTCTAGCAGGATTTTTTCCTGTTGCAACTTGTGCTTTTTTGTGAAACTGTAATTAAACTTCTGTTTGCAAAACTTCCATTTTTGTCTAACACCACAATGCCTTACACACAACTGCTGTCAGCATCACACAACTGAAGTCTGAGAAGAAGGAATTACTCCAATAATATGATTTCATATGAAGACAGACTGAACACCAAACAATTTTACCATGTTAACCTCACACAGACCTTGATAAACTGACGAACTGTCTTAAACAAAGAAAAACAAATTATCCCACCTTAAAAGTCCCACATAGTAGAAGTGTGTGTGTCTCACATAACACAGTAAATCATCTTCCCCTTCAGAAAAAAAATAGCAGTGGCTGAAAACATTAAGTTAGTAGAAATTTAGAAAACCATATTGAGAATGATGGCAGAACATGATGAAAGTCATGATCTTCATTGCTTAACATTGTTTTTGAATATACTGAATTTGTGAGAAGCAGTAAGAATGAGCCCTGTTACTTACGGTACCTGTTCAAAGTTAGATTTGGAATGATGACTGGTTGTCTTAGCGACATAGTCCTTAGAATGGCATGATGCTTTATTTTCTTCACTTTTGGCGACGCAAACTATATCTTTGAAGACAGATTCATGAATATTTAATCCCACTCCTTTATTTGATCTCTTTGTTTGTTGCAGTGATAAACTGGAATTTTTAATTTCATTGTCTAATTTACAAATCTGTGAATGCAATTCCTCTGACTGGTGTTGTTCCTTAAGAACTTGCGGGGAATTTTGACTTGCAAACTTTTTTCCCCTTCTTGCACTGGAAGTAGGAGATGCATGTGCTTTCAGACTCAGATTGGTGTTGGATTTCTGAAGCACTGGCTCAACATTCTTAAGAAAGAAGGGAGAATTTGCCTTTTTATGATTGACTTCACTTGGATTCCCACCTGAAGCAGAGTTTTCCAAAAAATCAGAATTAGTAATTTGTCCACCAGACTCTGTTTTCCATCGAAATATGGGTGCACTGTGTTTTGTGCCTGTTTTTGTTTTCATCATGCTGCTGTCAGTAGGATTTTTGACTGGCAGATTTTGAACTTGTTTGAAAACCTGAGTTATGCTGGACTTGTGAACAGTCAGCATAGAAGATGAAGCACCCGTAACTTTTATTAGTCTTTCAGCATTTTCCCTTTTCTTCCTATCCGTTTGATTTGTGGCCTTCCCATTCATTTGCATCAACTTTCCTTTGAAAATTGGTATAATTTTGCTGACTTTTGGGGGAAGGAGCTCAAAGGTTGAGTTTACGGGTATTCCTAAAGATTTCGCAGCTGGTGACTCCGTTACTCCTGATATTTGCTTGTTATTCACTGATTTCTCTGTCTCTTCAACGCTAACCTCTCCTGTGCCCTCGCCGCTACTCGAAATACTGCGGGTTTCTGGCTCTTTGATCAAACGCTCCATCCAGTGGCTGTTTTCCGTACTGCACGGTGAAGGAATTCTAGGCAAAGTCGGTTTCCTTGGTGGAGGAGCCTGCGTTAGAGATACTACACAAACCATCTCACCATCCAATTTCATATGTTTAGATTTTATTTCCTGCAGTAAAAAAAGAGTTGCTAAATTGAATGAACTGGATTAAAAAAGTCTGATAGTGCCACCTAATGCATCATGATATGATACCAACCTAATGCACAATATTTAAGCATATATATAAACACATATTCTCCTGTTTTGAATCAGAATTGTTATATTTTTAAAGAACATTTTGTTGCCACTACAAATTAAGGTTTTTTTTCATCTCCTACAGTTCTTTGTTTATAAACTATGCTGGAATTTCATATTTATCAGAAGGAAAGACAAATTTAAACAGTCATTATCTTGGTTTAGTGCTTTCCAACTGGATAATGTCTACCCCTTTTGAGGTGGTCTGCACAGGGTCTGATTGGCAGGGCTCCTCGTCTCTTAAGACGTCTAAGAGCATCTATATTCTGAGCAAAAGACAGTTTGGATGTCTATAAAAACTGCAGATGACACAGAGGAGCCATTCTGGCTTTGATCACTGAAGACACATAAACAGAAAGTGCTTTCTGAAAGAGGATTATATGATGAAGACCACTTCATACCATGAAAAAGAATACTCCATCAATATGTTTATAAAAAACCTTACACCCACCGGAGCCCTGGAGAGTTCTTGTGCAGCATAAAGTGCTTTACTTGTCATCTTCACTGGGAATCCACACAGTTGTGAAAGATTGCTCTTCATGTCAGAAACAAAAGAGTTCACTACACTTTCTGCATCTGTTCTGGGGAAATACTGCACCGGCTGACTTCGAACGCAACTTAAAGGATACCTGAGTAACTGTTAAGGGATACATAACAAGTTTCTTTATGTTTCTATAATTGCTAATCATCTTCGTTCAGAAGAAAGCATGAACAGGTCTAAAGCTTTTTTAAAAAGGTGAACAAAAGCATTTAGTTTCTTACAGGACTGAAGCTTATAAAGTTACAGGACTTCAGCATGATTATACCATACTAACCTACAGTAGCAAAGATTATTCAATATAAGTAATCCTTAGTCTAGTCTTTCCCGGCAGGAAAATTCTCTTTAAAACAGATCTTTGTTGGCCACGTTTTTACAGAACTTTAACTCTTTCTTTTACATCACCATTTAGAGTGGCATTATCATGTTTACAGAAGCTGTGAAACAAATGGCTCTATTTGACTAAGTATTATTCAATACTAGGACAGAGACTTGACTAAATATTTTGTTTCAATTTGTCTAGTGAAACAATTCTTTACTGGTTTCTATAGAAGTATGAAAGAAGAAAACGTGGTGGACTCAAAAATGAAAAGCAGAGCTTTGCTAGAAATGTAGTAGAGGAATTGTAACAAATACATTCCGAAAGGATACGTGAAGAACCTTTCCCCTATTGGTTTGAAGTAAACACTCAAATATATTTTTGTCTCTTCAAGATCCTCAGGAAGAATATATCCATACTTTAAAAAACCCAAACATAAATGTGTATTACAAATAGAAACTCAACAGGCACAAAAAAGGGAGGGGAAAATGAAAACTGTATGTGTTTCTTACCAAACTCTTCCAGTGCATCTGAAATTCTTTATATGAACGGAAAGGAGATTCTGGAGGAATTATATGGCTGATGTTTATGATCTGACCCATTTTCATGCTGTGCACAGGTACAGAAGGGATGCTTAGATCAGTGTCAAAAAATCCAGCCGAAAAAATAGTGGTCTTTTGGAAAAAAAATAAATTTGGCATTCAAAGTATTTACAAATTATTTTTCTTGTGAGGACATTTAGCTGATAAGTTTATGACATAACAATAGCAATACTTTCTGAAGTGTGGAAAAGAACTTGGCATCTACAAGTCCAATTTATCTTGTCCGTAATACTCACTACCAATGAATGCAGAAAAAAAGCAAATATATCATTACTTCTCATATTTTTATGATGAAAAAGTATAGGTAAAAATAAAGATAGTTTGTAGCAAAGATGGAAATATTTTTTTCTTTAAATTGACACTTTCTGCTAAAATTATATTTGAGAAAAAATGATGCTTTTGCATACCACAGAAGTAGAACAAAATTGAAATAATACTTAAATGTGTAATTTATGATTCATCGGTTAATTTTTCTCATTTTCCATAACACTGAGATAATAAAAGAAAAAAAAAGATTCCTGAAAGTAAAACAGACTGCAAAACAGAAGTATTCTTATCAGTAGTATCAAATTCACAGTTTGTAGAGCAAGCATTCCAGGAAATGTTTATTTCTGCTGAAATGTAAGCAGATTCCTACCTTGGCAAAACATAGCACCAGTTACTTAATATGGAATGTTGTTGAATGACTGTATTTTCATTGCTGTTAAACAGCTTTACAGTGTTTTCTGAAATATCGAAATCTCCCAGCTTAAAACAGAAAAAAAAAAGTTATTTTGAAATATTTCTACATCGTCTAAAACTAAAATTTTCAAAAGTGATTATGTATCACAATACACTCAAGCTAATACATTATTATTCTTTTATCAGCTCTCACAAACTGATTATTTTAGAAGATATTCCTGTTATCAAATTGCAATTTATCTTATTTTAGAGCTCACACTTCCACAAGCTATATAAGTACAAGGTTTAAAGTTTATTTAATGATATTTAAACTTTATTTGAAATGTTTTAATAAGTAAGGGTACAGGAATTTCTCAAACTCAGAGCTGTCTCATGCACATTTTTTAAAATGCAAATCAGAAACCCATGTTTGACATTCTAGTAACTGTGTATGTCACTTTGCCTAGTCAAGTACAAATATCCAAGCAACAGAATTAATGTGACATGCAGTTTCATCCTCTGAGAAATCAAAACACCACATATTTTCACAATGTCAAAATTTGACTCCACGGGACAACCAAAGACTGAGATTTGAGAAACATTTTATCTTTCTATGGTCTACCAGGGTTTGCATTTATTCACAGACAGGAAAATCTGGACATTTCTGCTTTAGAAAGGTATTGAAAGGATCAAACTGATAATGAAGCTAGATCATGATCACATCCATCATTAGTCTGTGTCGTTTGGGAATTGGATTCCTATAGATAGGTTTAACGTTTATGCTGTCCCAAGCACATCTCAGAAGAAATCCTATTCTTCTATTCTAAGAAAGAATTTTAGGAGAAACTGGCAAGCCTGACAAATATGACTCTGCATGTATGGGCATATGCACCAAAGGTGACACACGTGGCTGTCACAATGGATGGTAAGTTTTCAACCTCAACCATGATTTCTTAAACAATTTATTAATTATGCTTACAAGCAGCATGGTCCTGGCTGCTCCAGTATTTTGGAGTCTGCAAAGAATATGAAGCAGATTCCATAATAATCATATACAGGGACTTTAAACATGGTGCTGACAACTCACCTGTAGCTTTAATGTTGTTACTCAAAAGCTGTCTACGTATTACAGTGAGACTGAAAGCTTTCTAGAAAACATTGCTAGAAGGAGATCTAGAATCACAAAGACACTCCACTTTTTTGAAAGGTCTCTTATAGAATCTCAGTTTCGTAATGTTTGCTGGAATGTATCAATATAGATATGATATGGATGTTATGCTCTTATAGCAGGTGCAGATAGTTGATGACTATGATTAATGTCTCAGTGCAATCAGAAATAAGCACTTCTATCCCTATCATGCTAACTGGAAGTCACCTTACAGAAGACAGAGATTAATAAGACAAACACAGTCAAAGAAAATTTAACTGGCTTATACCTCAGGGGGTGGCAACCGAATAGAGCAAGCTTCCACACTGATGCAAAGCTGTCTCTCTGACACACTGAGGTCTAAAACTAAAATTACAAAAAAAAGCACAAAGCCTTGTTTTGAATTACAGTTCATCTGTTAGGTAGAAAACTAAGCCAGCTGTTTATTTTAGGTAATTGTTAGTCAAAATGTTGCATTTGAAAATCAAAAGGCTAGACTTTCTCAGCATGGAAATTAAAATCAAGAGCATTTTAACTATGAGAAGTAAAAATAATAATGAATTGCTATCATACAGTACATGTCCCTAGAAACTCAAGGCTGGCTGTGCAACTGGATTCTTCATACCCATATCTTTCAATAGGAAAGACTATATGAGCAAGGCATGCATTTATTGGCACACCTCCAGAACTTCCACCCAGCTTTGAGTTCCTCAGCATATGTCCCTCTTACAAATTTAGGCTCCAATATCCGCAAATGTAGTCTTGAACTTTTATACTGGAATAAAAATATTACTTTGTAATTTTTACAGTAGCTAAACAGCACGCTTTGTGACTTCACTTTTGTGAACAACGAACATAGTGCTGACTGACAGTCACTATAGCTCATTTTCCTATCTATTATTATGGAACTTTCACATCACTTGCAAGACTCATCATTTGAGGCAAGTGCATTTATTTGTAATAATCAAAACTTTAAACAGGCAAATTTCAATCTATGGCTGTAGCTTTTAAATTACCTTTTTTGTGGGTAATTTTTCAAAGGTTCAGTTGAGCTAACAACTATTACAGACAGAGCATCAAGGTGTATTTTGACAGAAGTGATTTCAAAATGAGAACCAAAGACACAAATGCCAAGACTGTGGCAGTGGGAAAGTTCTTAATTATACCTTGCTCTCTCAAGTTTACCATTAACAGAATTCGTACTTACCAACAGCATTTTGCTTTCCTGAATGAGACAGAAAGTCTTTTCCTTAACAAAAAAAATAGATAGGAATTATTTTCTAAACTATATGTCTCAAGTATTTATGAAAAAAAAAAAAAGCAGGAATCACACAGATTTGTTTGTGTGAGTCAGGAATGCTGAAAGGTGTGTTCCTTTAAAGCAGAGAACCCCCTCCATCAATTAACTTTTCACTAATTCATGAACATCTTATATAAAAAAGAAAGATATGTAAATGTAAAGTGATATAGGAACATAGTACTTTTTTAAATTGACTAACAGTTAATACATGTCTCAGGATCTAAAGCAAATCTGTATAGTATTACTACGTATTTTACCAAATATGTTTTGCCCAGCTTTGGCAACATAAAGGATTAGACAAGCTGCATGTATCAGGGTCACATTGCTGTTGGTGGATGCCTTTGTTGCAATCAGCTTCATATCAGCTACCACCTAGCTCTCTACTCCTAGCTGCTACTCCTGAATCAGTTGATTTCATTCTGAGAGCCACGTATTTTGAAGATACTGAGAATAGGATACTGTTATTATTGTGGCTGGAAAAAAAGATAACACCATATACACTTTTCTCAGTGTACATTTGAAATTATGTACACAATTGCTCTACTTATTACCACAACACCACAGTATCTGAAGAATATGTGCCACTGCTAAGGCATGAATCTGAAAAACAGGCCCAATTTTTTGGAAGAAATTCACTGCCCAACAATATTTGGTTTGGAAATTATTAATCTGGTACATTGTATTCAGTTGAAATAATTATTTGGTCTATTACAAAGGTAAGGAAGATGATGAAAAAGTGAATGGTATGTCCGTTCATGTCCATTCCGTTTATTAACGTGAATCATTGAACTTAGATAAAGGAACAATAAAGATGCAATTAAAGAAAAATATAGGAAAAAGGAACAACAGAATTTATTATAATGAATGAAATAATTATGGAAATTACATTAATGGAAAATAAATGCAACAATAAAGAACTGAAAACTAAATGCTTGATCCCTGATGCAGCTGAGTCAAATACCTTGCACCAAGAGATGGCCAGCCTTGTTCCATTTGGGTGCAAGTCTGGCTGTAAGTGTATAGGAGAGACAGGTTTGGAGAATGGCTGGAGTAACTGTTTGTGGTGCTTCCAGCTAATAACAGAAGTGTAAAAAAGAAACATACATTATTAATAATTTAACAGATTTTTTCAAAAGCCTCAGTCAAAATTTAAGCAAATATACTGCTACTCCATCTGCTGCTCTACAGCTCCTTTAATGTTTTCACAGGGCTGATAACAGATTTGGGGAAAAGATCAATTGAACTATCTGGAGTACTTTACTAGATGTGCAACTCTTTCCAGACAACAGGCACAACATCCAAAACTGACATTACCTCTGCTGTCAAACTCAAGACCAATCACGTTAGATAAACGTAGCTTTGCTCACCCAGCAGCGCCGCCTGCCTGACTGCCTGTCATGCAGACCTTTCTCTTGACCATTAGCATTGGTCAAAATACTAATTATAATGGCTTAAAAAGAATTAACTAATACATCTCCAGAGGGATGTTTCTAGTGAGATCCTGCAAGGACCTGTTTGCAGTTCATGGTTATCAACTATACTTTGTACTTCTTATCTGCTTGTGTTAGAAAATCTATTGATGACAGGTTAGCTGCATATATCAACATAAAGTAGTTTTGTGATATAAGCATATTTAAATGGCATATGACTTAATAATCCAGAAAAGCATTTGCACTTCTTGGAACAAAGAAAAATACACCCAACTGGCTGTGCCAGTGAATCATGAGACTTACTGGCTTTGATTGCAATCAGTCTTTCGACTCAGCAATTCTACTTCATCCACACATACATTCATAAACCCCACAGATGTTGCAGTAAATCACAGACATAATGGTCTAAAAATATATCAGTTGTTAAGCTCAGGGTTTCTATTTCTTCTCTGTGCTTTTGCTTTGTTTTCCTGAACAGGCTGAGTAGACCCAAAGGTGAATGGGGAGACAGTTCAGCTGCCTGAACATTCCCTGCTGGGGAATATATTTGGGCACTGGTGGAAGGGGTGACGCCGGTAGGAAAGCTGAGGGCTTTGGCCCAAAGGGCAGGTTGCCAATGCCCCTATGTAGAATCAGGATCCCACTGCAATTGAGAAATCTAGGGAAGTTCAAGAACTTCTAAAAACTTCTGACTTTGTATGCTTCCTATACCCAGACTCATAAGACGCATTTTGTCTATGAGGCAGACTTTTTCACCCTGAAACTCGGTTTCTGCAGTTGAAATTGCATGGTCTATGAAAAATACTCATCTCTGGCAACAGCAACTTGCAGGCAAGTGTAACAGTTTCAAGAACTGTGTCATATTTCAGCACTTACAGTAGCTCCTTGTCTCTCTACATAGGCTTGAAATATTCCTGAGTTGTAAAATGGTATCTAAAAATAACAATAAAAAAAATCAATGAAATGTCTGGAATTAAAAGGTGCTTTACCAAATCGTAAATTAAATTCTGGTACAACACTGACTACGCCTTTGAGAAACATGCTCCAGAACAGTTAAGCAAACACTTTATCCTGTATTTTAAAGGAGATAACTAAAATTAGTTCAGGCATCTGTCATAGCGTAGTCTCATTTCTAGATGAAGATACATTAACAAACAAGGAAACATCTGCCCAAAACACAATTGCATAACTTTGCTTCTCTCCTTGCAAATTGGGTGGCATCTTACCAATTGAGTCCATTCCATTCCACAAAAAGTTTCACAATCAAAAAAGGCCATTTCAGTCAAAAAAGTAGAGGACTTAAAGTGTCTTCTACATCACTAATGCACAAAAATAAAAGTTTGCTTTAAATGAAATATTTTTACTTATCCCTGATCCTCAAACAAAACACTTCCTAGAGAAATATACATGTATGTATAAGAATACAATTGACCCCTAGATGTAGTATGGTTCAGGCTGATCAAGAAGCAACAGGTCTCACATCTTTGGGATGAACTTGCAAGCTGGAATGTCCCTGGCTCATGTACAAGGGAGTGAAGGTGTCTTGAAAAATAATTCAAAAGGTGTTTTCGAAACCCCAAAGTACAAGATAACCAAAGTACAGAACAAGATGTGAGCACTAAATCAAAGTCTTATCTGCCTTATCTGTACTATTGACTAAGAGCCAAGTAATTAATCCTTTTAATATGAGGATCAGGATGGGCCCAATTTGAGCTCTCCCTGAATGCCAGCCTATATGACAGCTAGCCTTCATGGTAGGTGACCCTCTCCTTGAGCAGGGACCCCTCTCAGGTTTAGAGATTCCATACCTGAAACTAAGAGATCCTTCCTCACCAAAGGCCAGGAGATCCCTTATCCGTGATCTGCAGTAAGTGACTGACAGCTTGCTGAATGAATACTGCGAAGCATTATTAATCCATGCAGCTACTCAGACACTATAAATATTGTATGGTTAATTCTCTCTATGAGTCATTCTAATGCAACTTTCCTTTGTATGTTTCTTCCATGTTGCAATTATTAAGGCAAACCTCGCCATCGAACTTACTGAACCTTGTCCAGCCACTGTTAAAACTTCGCTAAATTCCATCAAACTCATCGAACTCTGTCAAATTATTATTTTACCTCAATAAAACATACTGCCACTTCTCTCTTTCAAGTGAGGTGCATTCTGCATAGTGCAGCAGCATGTAACTACAGACAGTTATTTACACAGTGATACTGACCGCCATTACAACTGACATTTGATTCAGTGTTCCAATAACAGGTGCAGAAAGGACCTCTTGATACAGGAATAACAGCTCTCTGTAAAAAAAAAAGTGAGAAAAAAATTAAAAAATAGTTTTACCCACTTGATTTTCTCATCTTTAATTTATTTTCCTCACCTTCTGCAAACATAATACTTTCCACTCTTAATCAGTTTCCAGTGGTTCAGCATAATAAATTGTATTAGTCCAAGTTATTCGCTCTAGAAGATCCACCGTGGTCTAAGACAAAGACTACAGGTCTTTGGCACATGAACAGAACTCTCCAAAAGCATTACTTATGGCAGAATTTTTCATTTCTCCTCTTTTCTATTAAAGGGAATGACATAATGCTTGGTGAATGTCAGGGAGCATACTTCTGCTTTCCAAATATTCTTTTCACTGAGTCTCAAGCCACATAAAGCATTCCACTTTTGCAGGTGAACACAGATTAATTTTAACCATCTATTAATCTGAAATATGTGGCCCTTGTTAGTTTTAGCTGATGAAATTTAAAACATAATAGAAATTTGTTTTTTCTTCCCAACACTCAGCAAGTCTCCTGCTCAAGAAAAAAAATCTCTCTTTTAAATAATTCTGTATGGTTTGCCACTTAAAAGAATTTTGTTGATTTTATTACAGTTAATTCTAGTACTTCTAATAAAATATTTTAATAACAACCACCAACATCTTCTGAAAATAATAGCCCACAACATTTTTACCTGCAAACCTTTATCTGTGTACTCCTTGTCTCAGCTTCTGGTATCTGAGAGCTCAGTGTTACTGTAGCAGCACAGAGTTTTTGCAGCTCTGGCAGACTGACAAAGAACAGAGACTGGTGCCTGGTCTTATTCATGGTATATAGTTGATTGCCCCAAGGCAATCTTACCTGAGTCTTAAAAAAAAAAAAAAATAATTAATTTTTATAAGGCACATATTTGTTTACAGAACTTTATAAGTATATGGCATTACGTAAATGAATAATCAATTATCTTCTGATTAAGAATAAGTAGGAAATACAAGAATTTAGTCAACTAAAACAGCTCAATATCCTTTTGCTATATGTAGTGCGTTATATTTGAAAAAATCATTATTTACAAAAACCAAAATGTTCAGACTAAAGGCAAGGACAAAAGAATACAGAGTACATGCATATACATGTATGCACCTCTGTCATTTTTGGAACCTCCTAAAAAGCACCAAAAGGAATCAGAATTTCAGACTGAGAATGTGATCCTTTGATGTAATATGAACAAATTTCATGACAGTGGGAATAATAGGAAGTTATAGCTGTTACCTGTCTTGTTGGACACCTGTTGTGCGCTTCTATGTATTGCAGCACAGGCCAAGCTCATGTGTAATGTAATATTTATGACCAAAAAATAATTTAATATTTCAGTATTTGAATAAAAAGACACCTTTTATTAATAGCACCTTTCTCAATCAAAGTGTTTCAATGAAAGACGAGCAGGTAGAAAGTCTGCTTGTTATGAAAAGCCAGGAACAAACACTGCACACCAGAAAAAGATGTTTTAATAGTTCTTCCCCTCCAAACCCTTAAACACTTTTGGAAAATGGTCTCACCATTGCCTTGAAGATTCCAAATTTTATTAAATCACCACATATTCCCTTGAAAAGCAATTTTGTAAAGCATGATAAAAAAATTATGAACTGGAAATACATTTTGAGGACCTATGTCAAAGATAATTTCACTGTTCTGATTTTGCTTTGCTTACACTGTAACACATTAAACAGATTAACTTCAGCCATATCCTAAAAAAATCACAAGAATAGTGTTTTATAACTGTAATTTAAAAGAAAATAGAATGTTTCCTTGTTTGTTACCCTTATTGGAAAACACATTTCAGGTTTTTTCAACAAGCATGAAAAGAAGATTTTTTTTTTTAAGATGCCAGCCAAGACTATCACTTCATCAGGGAATTCCAAAAGCTACAGCTCAAGGGAAAGGACTATTTTAAACGAATGAGAAAAAAAATCTTGCCCTTTTGCAAACCCAGAAAAGAAAGCCTGAGTCCTCTGCTTTCATAACGTTTATTGGGGATTTTTGTGGCAGAGATGTTGTAAAACACATGCTGCAATGCTACAGTGTTTGCTTGCTGTTTGAGGCCAGCTCCCCTGTGGGAACCGCTCGCTGTACAACGCGTAAGTTAAATCTTCCCAGACATCTTAAAAGCTAAAGGGAACAAAGTGCTTGCAAAAGGCTTCTGCCACCAGGGGAGAGGATAAAGAGAGAAGTACCAGTTAACACAGAACTACCAGTTACGAAAGAACTACCAGTTATAAATCACAGCAAATAAACCCAACTGCCTTCTGTACAAGTAAGAGAACTTTACGTGTGTGGGAGAAATTACACCTTTAGATGCCAATATTTAGATGCCAATAATCACAACACACGAACTTGAAACCGTCACTGAGTTCCTACTAAGCTGAATAGAACATAAGTCAGAGAACGGCTATCACAGTTTTTCTGTCAGAAAAGGGAGGTAAATCACAGAGCCTGGCAGAGATATTTGCAATTTTCAGTAACAACCTGAAAGATGGAGTGAAGAGCTTCCTTATTAAAGCTGAGAATACCACCACAGACAGTAGCTACTCTTACTGTCAGGCTTACGGTAAAGAAGTAGAGGCAGGACCTGAAGGTGGTGGAGTTCAGTGAAGAAGTATGCACACCCACACCCACCCACACTCACATACAGGGTGCAGAACACGTCCCTAAGCACCAGCTCTGAGGAAAGGTGACAGGTCATGCTGGGTAAATTCTATACCACAAAAAACCCCAAACCAAACCCAATCCAGCCTATGGTCACGTCGGAGTGTGCCCACGGGACTACTGCTGTTGACTATTGCCGTACTGACAACCAACCAAGTTGTGTGTGGACGTGGCGTGGGAATGGGGGAACCCGTATTGGACCGGCATACAAAGCCATCAAACACATCTGAGACAGGAGCTAAAGAAACAGGTTTTACCTCAGAGAAAACTGAGGGGAAACAGGGTGCTGGGCGGGTGACAGAGCCTCACCGAAAGGAGGGGAAGGCGCTGCTCCCTGAGCCCTCAGCCCAGCCGGCAGCGAGGGAAGCCTCGCTCCAAGGCCCGCGGGAGAGCTCTCCCAAGGCAGGGCGAGGGGCTCCTGCGACAGCTGTGAGGAAGCAGCCGGGGCAGGAAGGCTCCCGGAGCCGCCTCTGTCGGGATCACCTCAGGGCGCTGCGCGGGAACAGCGGCAGCGGCGTGCGGGCGCCTCCAGGCCCTCCAAGCCTGCCGGGATAGCCGGGGGTGGGGTGGGCTGCGAGGGGAAGCTCCCGGCCAGCGCCTGGCGTAGTGAGACACGGGGCAGGAGAGGGAAGGGTGTGCCCTGTTGGCATGGCAGGCTCCCGCCCGCACCTGTGGAGAGAAAACCGGCGGCAGCCGCGGCGGTCAAAGGCAGCCGTGGTGGTCAAACACAGCCGTCCTCGGGCGCCGCCCCGCGGCCACAGCTTGGCGGGGCTCGGCGGCCGTGAGCCCCCCCGGGAAGGTGGGAAGTGACCCCCCGGAAGGGAAGCTCGGCGGCGGGGCCGAGGCAGAACGCTGGGCGCGGCGTGCCCGGCGCGGGGGGAGCCCAGGCACAGCCGCGCCGTGTGTGCGCGGTGAGGCAGCCCGGCACGGCGCGGTGGGCATTGCCCGTGGCAGGGGTTTGCACTAGCACAGCCGGCTTTATCGCAGAGGCACGAGGATAACTTGGATTAAATGTTAGAAAGAAATTCTTTACTGCCAGGATGGTGAGGCACTACTGCAACAGGCTACCCAGAGAAGATGTGGAAGCACCATCACGGGGTCCCAGAACTGCTAGTGTTGTAAGGGACCTCTGCAGGTGCTCTAGTCCTACTCCACTGCCAAGGCAGGATCACCTGGAGCAGGTTACACAGGGACGTGCTCAGGTGGGTTTGGAACGTCCCCAGAGAGGCTCCACGACTTTCCTCAGGCTGCCTGTTTCACTGCTCTGCCACCCTCAGCGTACAGAAGCTCCTCCTCGCGCTGAGGTTAAACATCGGGTATCTTAGTTTGTGTCCAGCGGGCGTGTATCCCAGCGCCGCTCCCCACACCCAGCCGCGCACGGGCAGAGACACGGGACATGGTCACGTGAGACAGGGGGCGGGGCACGAGGGCAACTCCCGCCCCCCCACGGCCGCTGCCGGGCCGAGCGCCTTTCTTGAGTGGCATCTCTCTCCGCCAATGAGAAGCCGGAGCGGAGGGAGGGGCGGGGCGGGGCGGCGGCGGCGGGCGGTGATAGGCCTGCGGTGCGGGCTCGGCTGGTGTGTGAGGGCTCCGGCGAGTCGCTGTTGCGGAGCCGCGGGCACTGGGGTGCGGGAAGGAACGGGACGGGACGGTGCAAGGCACGACAGCACAGGACATGGGCTCCAGCGAAACCGGCAGCGAGTCGTGGCGGGGCCGCTACTACCGCCTGGAGGAGGTGCAGAAGCACAACAACAGCCAGAGCACCTGGATCATCCTGCACCACCGCATCTACGATGTCACCAAGTTCCTGGACGAGGTGGGTGCCCACACTGCCCGGGGCGCTGCCGGAGCCCGCGCCGTGCCCCAGGCGGGGCCGGGGCTGCTCCCGGACGGGCTCCCGTCCGCCTGCCCCGGCCGGGGGGTGCGGCACGGCGGGAGCCGCCCTCGGGAGCCGCGATAGCGCCCTCGGGAAGCGGCTCCGGGCGCCGCTCGGCCGGCACAGACCCGAGCGCCCCGGCCCCATTCCCGTGTGGCCCGCTGTCGGCCTTAAACCTTCGGCCTCCGAATTGCGAGGTGAATTTGCGGGAAATGAGGACAAGGAGAAAAAAACACTGGAGTCAGTTTTAAGCGCTCGGACAAGCGGGCTGTCTCTGTGAAGGTTGGGTGGCCAAGAGACGGGCGGTATCTGTCTGCCTCTTGCTCTAGTGTGCCGACTGAGAGCAAGATTTAAAGTGAAGACTTAGCTGGGACCCCGAGCCATATCATCTCGTGAGCGAAAAGGTCAGCAGCTCCTCTCTTCACACTGTTACAGTGTGTGCTGTATTATGGAACAGGAGGGAAACTTGACGAAGTGGAAGGAAAGTATCACAGCATCCAGAATGTTGCAGATTTTGGAGTTATTCTGATAGTCACAGAATCAGAGAGTGGTTTGGATTGGAAGGGACCTTAAAGCTCATCCCATTCCAACCCACCTACCATGGGCAGGGACACCTTCCACTAGACCAGGTTGCTCCCAGCCCCATCCAACCTGGCCTTGAACATCTCCAGGGATGGGGCACCCACAACTTCTCAGGGTAGCCTATGCCAATACCTCACTACTCTAATGGTAAAAAATTTTTCCCTATATCCAATCCTTGGTAAAGGCACTTGGTCACAGGGGCTTGTGTACATATCTGCCAAATGAATATATCATGGGTGACCTTAGTCCTGTGTTTTTGGCAGGACATGGTAGACCTGGCATTGCATACAGGCAGCCAGGTTCAGAAAATTAACTCAAGCGTTGCTCCAGGGTCTGTGATCTCACTGCCACCCTAATCTGTTCAGCGCCAGCAGGCAGAGGGGTGCTGTGGAGCTGCATGAGTTCAGACTCCGGTGTTGAGGACTAGAGTCGCGTTGGATTCCTTTGGTTGTGTTTTGCTGGTTTTTTTCTCTTCCCCTGTTAGTAGCTGATGTTTTTGATCTCTTACAGACAGTGAGCAGTTGGTTTAATCATTGATAGTCAGGGTTAATGAAGAGCATTTTAGTTATTGGACTAAAAGATTCTTCTGTGGAGATGGAGAAATATAACCACTAAGAATTTTTTTTCCATATTAAATGGAACCAAGATTTAGATATTTTGAGTTTTC